CTCTGTAATTCATTTCCCAGTAGACTCACTGACACACTTTCAAAATCCACTATCTGTTTTCTCATTAATTTGGAGCATTAAATTGCTTATTTTCTCATGTATTTCATGTTAAATTTTACCGAAAATATTAAATGGATTTAAAAACTAAGAATGTTTGTTTGTTTCCGCTGACAAAGGAAAACTATTTGACATATTAGGGAAAGTAAAGTGCGTTTTTCGGAACTTGCATTGACGATATGTATTTTGTAAATTCTTGCTGATGGCAGTTTGAATCCATTCTACATATCATGTGACATTCGGCACACTAGTTAATTATTCGGTTGAACATTTTGTAGGACACACAAAACAGGCATTTTTACACAATAAGAAGTTGGCACATTTTTTATTGTAACAAACTATAAATTTTCACCAATTCTTTACCAGGTTACCAAGTCAGTTACTTGCGATCTAGAGTGCTTTTCATGTACATTACTCTTATTGAACATAATTTCGCAAACATTAATTATATTCACGAAACAACTATTTCTTAACAACTTCCATTAACACAATTTTTCACCGTAATAGGAACATAAGACGTCTTATTGATTAAACCTTGTTTCTCATCTCATTAGGTTACCTCTTAATAGAGGAATTTTTCTCCATCCTGCTGTGAAGCTCAGAGTGTATCCTGATTTATTTTCATCTGCTTTGCAGATGATTACAGCAAAATCTATTACGTTGCTCGCAAAGTTAGATATACCACACAAACTTGATCTATAAATTGCATGTAAATTGGCGATGAGTTTATTCATCTAAATGGCGTAAGAAAAATGTGTTTCGTTAAGACTTTAAAAATATTCAACATGATACTCTGCGGTATGATTACGTTCTACAACTTTAAAACACTTTGTCAAGATGCCCTAAGAAGTGGAGAGAATAACATTAATGCTATCTCGACAGAATTACTACATGAAGAGAAGGAGTATTAGGAAATTCACTCTGAACAACCATCCACCAAGTTTTAAACGCATTAGTATGAATGTGCAGAAATGCCCCTAATTCTTTCCTTTTTTTGTAATATATAATATTGTATTCCTTATTCAGGGATATGAATTATCATGAAAGAAAAATTAGCGAAAACGTAAGTCAATTTAAGTTATCTTAATTTAATTTTTCAATTTTCTTATATCTTGTGTGAAAATTGCCCATCAACAGATGTGTATAATTTATCCAAAAATTATTATCCAATGAATTCATCAGTATTACAAAATGTATTTAATTTTAAATATTTTATTATAGATAAGGTTTTAAAATTATTTTTAAATTACATTGTTCATAGTGTGAACAGAATAGTTGGACATTCCGACCGGCCCCGAACACAAAAATGTTCCGTGGTGATGGTTCCAGATGATGTTCCAATGATCACGCCTCTTATCCAAAATCACGGTCCGGATCTTGCATATGGTTAGAGACCAAGTTTCATGTATCCATGACAATTTCGTAATATTCAGATGATACTCTTTAAACAGACACGATCCTATCATTGTGTTTTCATATGATTGATATATATATATATCATCGTAGTACCGATTATCTCATTAAAAACCTCTTCATAATGGCCATAGATTATGCAAAATACGTCAACAAGAATTGAATACGAATAAAGAATGGTCAAAACTGACATATTCTCAATAAAAAACACGTTGAATATTTTAAGTAATTGTATCGCATATGTCTCGTAATAGCTAAAACTACTGTCATGTATTTGTTTTCTAATGCACACAAAAGTAAGAGTAATGTGAAGTATTAACAGCAGCAGTTTGTGGACGCAATTAAGTAAATATGACTATCCAAGCAAGTGTACGAGGAAAAGTATGAGCATACTTGCTTCAAATATTCATTATAAATGTCACTGGGAAAATTCCTCTCAAAAAATAAATTAATGCTCTATAGATTCAATAATGAAGCAGGGTCTATTCTGACATGTTGTTTGCGGGGCTTGTTAAAACTTGGAAGTAACGAGCTCGTTAAAGGCAAACCGTAGCTGCATTTAAACTTTTTATATCTGCTGTGGAAATTTCCGGCATGTTTGCAGTGTCTGCGAATGAGCGCTGAAAATGACCTACATAATAGCGGACAAGTTTCTTTATTATATTTCCATCGTTGCAAAACCTATGTAATTAATACGACTTCAAGAAAATTACTACAGTTTACGGAATTGAAAATTGCAATTCATGGGAGAAATACCGTCACAAAGTAGTATTTAAAAACAAACAAAGATCTGTTACCAAAAAATCGAATTTTATTTTTTATTTTGATAATGCTAATAGTAGTAATAATAAAATAATAATAACAATAACAACAATAATAATAACAACAATAATAACAATAATAATAACTACAATAATAACAATAATAATAACAATAAGTCGGCCCCGTGGCACAGACGGTTGTGAACTAACTGCAAATGTAAGCATTCTTAAAATGCAATTATGCAACTACAATGCAATGTTAATTCAACCGTTTGCGAGTGTATTTATGCGTGTTCGAGGTCTCAATTTAACGATTATTAAGTTTTCACTTTAAGAAAGAGTATAATAAGTACGTTTCCTAACATTTAGTATTATTGTTGTTATTATTATTATTATTATTAATATTATTATTTTTATATTCGGATTAAGTGATAATATACAAAATTATGTATATTTGTTTTATTAATATCACAGACAGTTAGTAAGCAGACATTTCAATGAATTTATTTATTAAATGTATTTGACTCTGTGAAGCGTTATTACTTTTTAATGATCATATCATTTCTTCTATTCTTAGGAGAAATCTAAAATGCTAGATCTCCAAGACGAGCAAGCAGAAACTCAACAAGCAAAATGCAAAATAGCCCAATTAAAACCTCTAATAAACTCCAAAAGCTGCCTATCAATAGACAATGCTACAACAATATATAAATCAATAATCAGACCATTAATGTTATACGCATGCCCCGTATGGACAACCCATCTGCCACAACCATAAATAAACTGCAAATAATACAAAATAGATTTCTCCGTTTAGCAACTCACGCACCATGGTTTATATCCACCAAACAACTACAAAAAGAATTGTATATAAAATCCATCATCAAACACATAGCCCATCTCTCCAATAACTTTTATTCAAATATCAATTCTATACCACACATCAGCCACTACAACCTCGCCTCAACAGACTATACTCCAACACGAATAAAAATCCGCTACCCTTTAAATGCCTTCCTAAACATATTTTCCAACAATTGTGAATAGTAGGCGCAGATTGTAGCTTCCTACCCCTTCCTGTACTTAGAGTTAGTTATTAGATAGGTGATAAGAATATTTGTAAGTCATACAATACATATGAAAAAGTGATGTAACTGAACTATGTACTTTCGAATGAAAATAAATTTTAAAAAAACAGCAAGCAGCCATTGTTTTCCTTTGGAGCCCGTTATGAAGTTAGGATTCATTGATCATTTGGAATATCTCCTTAACAAATGGAGGAACTATTTAAACAGACAATTTTAGAAAAGAAATAAATAAAATTAAAGTAACATTTTCGTAACAAATATATATATATATATATATATATATATATATATATATTAGTTAATTTAATTGTAAGCGAACACTTTGAAAAGTAGAAAATGAAAATATGCTATTTTTGAAACAAAAAACCTTTCTTTTAAAAGTAATATGGCTGGCGGCTTTTAGAGAATGTATCGCTGACGTGAAAACGTAGTAGCTGTTTGAGTGTGTAAATCTTCCAAATAGCCACGCCCTGAATCTCCGTTTGCAAGACCCCCCCCCTCGCCGTACAGGACACATTGTCGATCGTGACACGCCAGGCGACTCCTGCCCTTGTTGTGCCATCGCCCTGGCCGCAAGCCAGCGGGATATCGACCGGGGCACTGTATCCCGGACCAGGCGGCGCTGCGTTGGGTAGAACAGCCTTCAGCCTCCGCGACAACGGGCTGGGGCCGGGCGGGGCGGTATGAAGGGTGAGGGGGCCCGGGACGATCTGAAGCGGAACAGAGTGGACGGCGAGGGAAAGCACGAGCCGAAGCGAGAAGCCGAAGGGAGAACGCGCATTTGGGGAGGAACCAGTAGCGCTAGAGGATTCCTCGCGGAGATATGGCGGGCGAGGTTGCCGAACTCGACGCTGGGTTTCACGACTCCTCAAGGAGATAGGTACAAACGCTGATCCACCAGAAAGGAGGACGTATATGGCGACTGGGGATGAAGGAATGTATTCCACCATGTATAAATGTAGGATAGATGTAGGGTGGGGAGAGAGATTAAAAAGCTGCAATGGACAAGAAAAGTTTACCCATGTAATAAAATTCGAGCAAGTGGGGATGGAAACAAGAAACAGAATTGATGAGACAAGAGAAATTGGCATCTGATAAAAGGCAACGAGTCTGGAAGGAGTGGGAACAAAATTGGATTTACAAATTCATCACTGACAACGTATAATACACTTAAATATGTTTTTCAAACTTTTAAATTAAAGCATTTACACTATTTTCAAATAAAAATAGTAGGTGAACAGACAAACGAGCAGGCTTTATAGCGTGAGTCTCGAAAGACAATTTTATTATTGATTATGTTATTATAATAAGTTCCAAACAGTCGGATAACTTGCATACAAGTGCTCTTGTGTACGCATTTTGTTAATAACCTTTTCTGATCATTGTTTCTTGTCATGCGCAATGTCGATTTAACCCACTTAGTTTACTGAAGTTCTGTTTATTAAGAAACGTTGTATATGAATACTTATCTACTACTCAGCTCGTCGCGTGTGTCACAAAAGTACAGATAGAGTATTTCTTGTCGAACTATAATTTTGGAATCCAATTATCGACAACATATCCATCCAATATAATTTGGTTTTATCCTATGATCATTATTATTTCCGAGTAAGATTATAGAAATGTTTTACAATTTCGATCGTTTCGAAAATACGCTTCTGCAAGAAATTCAACAGACTCGTCATCGATATCCTGGGATATTATTAGATCCACTGGATTCTTCCTGTAACAATTTGAACAAATAATTGAAATAAAAAAGAGTGCCCTAAAAAACAAAATGCAAAAGAGGACGTCATGTTACCTGAGAATGATTTTTATAAACATCTAAACACATATTAACTTTGAATTTGGCATTCTCCGTGCATTTGAAATTTAGCATTAACTTTAAATTTGTGTTTACATTGTAAACACCGGTTCAAGTGATTCTATCTTTAATTGAAAAAGTACTGTGAGTTTTTACAATCTTAGTAATGATTGTTATCAATCTAATATAACTAATGTAATCAAGCAAACCCTATGTATTCGATTTTTTAGGTGGTTCGAAATCTCAATTGAAGTTAAGCGGATTCTAATCACAAACAGAACCTTTTCCCACGATTTTTGACATTCCGTTCAAACAATAGTTTTGTTTCGTCTGGAGAATAAATTGTCAGTGCTCTGTTAATATTAGAGAAAAGTTCCTTTTTTTTAGAATCCCATCATTGTATTCCATTTTTTAAGATTAAGCTAAAAAATTAGTATCGTAATACGCAATGAATGCTTTAATGTAATACGAAAGCAATGCATTTTCTATTAAAAATATGAATTTGTACCATGATTTTTGGCAAAGAAGTCAGCACTTGCATTTCGCATTTCGAATTCAACCTTGTTGAAACTGAAAAAGTAACAAACGTGTAAAAAATAATGTTTTGATAAGAGACGTAATCGGGAAAGAGAAACCATGAAAGAGAAAGAGAGTGAGAGTGTGTGTGTGTGAGAGGGTGAGAGAGAGAGAGAGAGAGAATGAGGGGGCGAGGGAGGTTGCGGGCAAAGAAGTGACGGGGGCTAGAGGCGGGAGCGTGGGGTCCAGAAAGGGGGCTTGCAAGAGCGCCAGATAGAGTGAGCGAGGGGAAGGCAAGCAATGGGCGGTGGAGCGAGGAAGCGGGCGATGAGAGAGGCAGTCAGGCGAGCAAGGGCTAGGGGTTAGCGGAAGGCGGCAGCGAATGGTCGAGAGACAGCGCGGTGCGAGAGAGGGGCCTGGGGGGGGGGGGGCGAGCGAGTGAGAGCCGGTAATAGGGGCGAGCGATGGAGTGGGCGATGGGGCGGGCAGTGGGGGGGGGCGATGGGCGCGAGAGCGAGGGCGGGGACTGCAACGCCTTCCTTCTGTGCGCTCCGCTTTAATTCTATTAGCGCCGCGCGATAAGCGGACGTCTTCGACTGTCGCCGCGGGGCACGGGACGGCTCTCCGGGCGGCGCCCCTCAGAGGGGGAGGAAAGGAGCGAAAAAGAGACCTTCAAACACTTGCTACTCTGGCGCCGCGTCTCTTCCTCTAGTACAATGCGCCCGCTGTCGGAAAGCTCGGGTAGTCATGACGCGTACGGAAGTATAAACTTGTTCAACACTTAACCGCAATAACGAAAGCACAAATAAACTGACGGTTTTAGAAAGAGTTCGTGAGTTTCAGCTTTTGGGTGGAAAATTGGCCGCTGCCCTATCGCAGAAACATAAATTATCTTAATATAAATGATTACAAAAATAATCACAAAAAATGTGACGAAAGAAATTTAGAATGCAGAGTGAATGTCCAAATTGCAGGATAAATTGGCAATGCAAAAGGATATTTGAATGATTGATTGATTAACTGATTGATTGATTGTTAGTAATTCCAGAAGCTTCAACTACCAGGGTTATTGGTCCCGTAAGTTTAATATATGTTTTTGTTCTGGAGGTGGCGGTGGTGTAGTCAATGTGAGTGTAAGCTTGTGTACGAGTTGAGAATAGGACAAGGAAGAAGTAGAATGATCGCCCCGTTTGTTAGGGTACTGCTCCGGCATTCGCCTGTTGATTGGAAAAACATCGGAAAACTACCGATCAGAATAGCCGGCTGCTTGATTTTCCTACAGCCAGCGACTGAATTCGACCTGGCTGACAAGCTAGTATCAGAAATTCTACCACTGTCGGGACTAGAAACTAGGACCTCCCGGTCAGATGGACTGTCGTGATATCAGTTGATACCCTGAGCCATCTTTCGGTAGACACTTGAATGACCAATGTAAATTAAGATAAACTGTAATGCTGACTTTACACTAGCAAGAAAATGGCGAGCAATATGATTTCGCAAGAGAAGTTGCCAATGTAAACATTGCGGCAATAAATATTGCTGATGTTGGCAATACTTCTTGCTACTTGTTCGGGTGTAGTGTAAACTCGTGTGTTTCCGTCGTCGGAAAGACATTGCCAGTTGTTGCTGCAACGTGAAGCGAATTGGATTCTGGGCAAGATATTGCGGAAAATACGAGAACGATGACTACTCCCACGTGCGCAGAAAGTTCAAATAAGGTAAATACGTACACATTATTTTGAATTGAAATGGCGTTGTGTATTTATAGTATAATGGATGTGTGTAAAAGGTTATGCAATAAAAGTTGTAGGAAATATTCTAAACCTTCTGTATTTGATTATCAAGTGGTTCTAATTTTGGTTGAGGTACACGTAGCCTTTAATTATTTATTGTGGACAAACCAAATTTGGTTTTGCACCTGTACTTACGAAAAGTATTATTAAGTACAACAGCACAGAGTAATGAGTCTGTCCCTTCAAGTACATCAGCTAAAATAAATGGTAACAATAAAACTATTGAGACACTAGAGGGATAAGAAAATTACATTCTATGTTTAGATATGGTATTGAGTCTACATGCGATTTTTTTCATGTTTCCATGTTCTCAAATATGTTTGAAATATATTTTTCGTTGAAAAAGTTATGAGCATATATATTTTAGCTGATGTTCCTGATGAAACAGAGACATTGGTCTGTGAAACATTGTACTTTATAATCCTTTTTCTAAATACAAGTGCTTAGTATAATAATCATATTATGTACTAATTGTTTATATAGTATACTGTAACTGCTGATAACGAAATGGTTAATTAACTACTGCAAAATTGATCATTCATTTGTGTTCTTAAAACAAAATGGGAAATGCACTTTCATATGTTTATGTTGCTTTTGTAAATTTCACAAAGGATTTTTTTATCTTATTGGTAATTGAATCGCATTTTCTGTTCTTACTTTAATTAGTTGAGAATGTTAATGTGGAAAGCATTTAATAATAAATGAATTTAAAAAATGTTTTAATGTATGGTAGTTGATATTATAAAAAATTAGTGAAGTGAACATCGGTATTCATGTAGTGAAATTGTATATTACAGATGGAAAATTGGAGGACGAGCCGGACTCTCGATTTCATTGCTGAAGTGGAGGGGCAGAGATGTCTGTGAGACGTGAATTCCCCAGACTATAAAAATAAATTAATGCGCACCAATGCATGTAACATGGTAGCTGAAAAATTTGAGGTGTCCTCATCTGAAATTGCTAGAAAATTGAAGAATCTGAGGACTCAGTTAAGCCAAGAGCGTAAAAGAATGCAGAGCTGGACCAAGTGGTTCAGGCTACTGTAAACGAACCAAATGGGCCTACTTCGAGCCTTTGAAATTTATGGAAAGGTCAATTACAAAGAGACAATCTCTTAACACAACGGTATGTACATATTTTTTCACATTCATCTTTTAAATAACTTAAATAAGTGTTTTTTGTTATTTTCCACATCTTTTTCAATGATGTATGAAAAATTGACATTGCTGTGTGGATATGAAAAATAAAAAGGTATTAGATATTAAGGAATACAGAAGACCTTGGTAATGTAAATAAAAAAGAATAGCAATCATTAGAGAATAGTTTTAATAATATTAACCTAGATTACAAAAAAATATTTAAATAAATACAAATATTTCAAATAAAGTTATACTGCCAAGGCACTTCCCCTTCACTGTAAATGAAATAGTCTATGTATTCAACCCTGATCTTCTTGAAGTTCTGGCACTACTATTATTTTGCCCCCTCTGGAAAGGAAAATATGTATTTTCAATAGCCGCCTCCCTTCTCCACGAACCACCTCGTAATTTGCGAGTTTCGCCATCTTCAGAGTCAAAATCACATATGTTTGAATTCCTGTCTCGCAAAAAATTGTGGAGAACACAGATCGCAGTTACAATATAATCAGCATTAGCGGTTTCCTCAAAACCCTAAATCTCTGCGCTATGTGCCCAAAAACAATTTCGACAACATGGCGTACTCGACTAATTCTGTAGTTGAAAACTCGATGAGCACCGGACGAACCAGTTGCTGGATATGGCTGCATTAATGTTTCGCTCAATGCAAATGCATCGTCTGCCACCATTACAAATGGGGTGTTTCTTTTTTGCCCTGCTAGTGGTGAAGCCCTTGGAAGATTTAAATTTCCATTTTCTATTTGTTCATGAAGTGAACACTCTCCATCTGAGATTCTGCCTTTAGCACCCAAGTCTGCATAGATGACTCTGTAATTTGCATCTACAAGTGCCATCAGCACTATTCTGTGCGTGTGTTTATATTTAAAATAAAAACTTCCACTATTTGAAGGGGCTTGCATATCAATATGCTTGTCATCGAGAGCACCTATGCAATGAGGAAAATTCCATAGTTTGTTCAAATCATCAGCTGCAATCTTCCATTCTTCAGGTGTAGCTGGCAGCTGAAAATGAAAGAAGTATTTTTTTTACTGTGCACACATGTTTGCAGCTAAATTACATAATTTTGTTTTTCTTTACAGGTAACTGCAGATGATGGTGCAGAGATCCCGGACCCCCCAAACCCAACCCCAACCCTAACCCTAACCCCAACCCCCACCGCCGCCACTACCTCTACAGCTAAAAGAAAGAAAGGGCCAACTAGTGAAATGCTGAAAAAGGCACATGAAATTATGTAATTCTGCTAACGATTAGTGCCAAATTTTTGGTGATTATATAGCTATGAAATTAAGAAAATTTGACTAACACCACAGAACTGAAAGCGGAGGGTCCTTGTCAACTTTTTGGAAGTTCAGGAACTTCAAAAAAAGGATATGGAACTAGGTAAATTTGTTTCATGGCCTCACTCTACTTATGTATTGAAATGCATAGTAATTATTTTTAATTCCACTTATAACTCATTCCACTTTGTTTTAGGTTCTTCAAGGGTCTGTGAACACCTGACGATTGAGTCTGACCAGGAGCTCTTGGCAGTTGTCAGACAATTATTTTTTTTAATACTAAATTATGAAAATTAAGTCTTATTGCATTTATTTTAACAACAAATCATTCCTTGATCGCAAGATTTTCCATTCCTGAATTAGTTCCCATTACCTTCCAAATTTTAGTACATTAAGTGTTATCTGCTGCAAGCAAAAGTGTGGTATCTCTCTTTCATAAGTAAATGAAACGTGAAGTAATGCCAACCTACAACTGCAGAAATTGTGATCTATTTGTGTCAATCTATGTATTGAAACCTCACTTACTTGCCATATAATAGCGCGACCACAAAGGTCGTCGGCGTTTCTTCTGCTCTTCAATTTTTTAAAGTGCAGCTGCGATTCGCATCTTTTGCCTTTTGTTCGCCATGTTGGATCAGAATGTGAGCTCTAGCCTCACTACGTACAGTTCGCACGCATTTACCTCGTGACGTCACCAAACACGGCAACAAAAAATCGTAGTGTAAAACGATCTGCAATATCTTGTCGGAAAGATGTTGCTCAGATCTTTCTGACAACATTGTCTCGTCTTGCTCTTGCTAATGTAAAGATGACCGCAAGAAGCAGAAACAAATTGCTGAAAGATATTGCGGAAACTGATTGCTAGTGTAAAGCCAGATTTATGTATCTGAGCCATCATTTCAACTCATGGTACGTTTCCATATTACTTCTTTATTAGAAGTCTGTATCTATCGGTGATATGTCCATGTACATTTAAGTTCGGTACAAAAATAGAAAACTCTTTTCTTGAATACTATCAACACGAATATTATCAATTCATGCATTAGTTGTGTAAGTATGTCATTAAAAGAAAACATAGATATTAAATGTATTAATTTCGTGATTGATAATTAACATTAGTAGTGCAAATTTAAAGTTATTAGTAAGCTGCGGATTTTGCATATTTGTATTTTTTCAATAAATAAATAATGATATGAATATGAAACATATTAATTTATTGCTGTTTGGAATCAACATTCAAGAAAAGAGCACATTTCAGTTCATTTGTGATAACTGACCGTGCTCACGTTCTAACATTTTGAGAGCATACATTGAATATTTGAAACATTTATACCTTAAAACGATAAAATATAATAAATCCGTAAAAGTATGTTAAAATATAATACGTACGAAAAATAAGTCATTTTTTAAAGTGACTTAGATTGTAGATCCCTGATACTGACAGTGTGGAAAATTCTTTTTCGTAAATGTAGTAAATTACTTCCTTTAACATTTTAAAAATTATGTTGTCAGAATACACATTTCGGGGGTTCTTGATTGCTAAATCTTGATTCACGGCGTGAGCAGTATTTTTGCCAAAATTAATACTCGCAGATCGCTCTGGGTGATGTCGGGACCCTTAGAATTAGAAACGAATATTTTTATTTTATGAGGTATTTTACATCAAGGATTAAAGTTATTTTATCAAAATTCTCAAAGACGTTCTATTTGTTTATTGTTTTTTTCATAGAAAAGATGTGCTTACGAAAATGTCGTGGGTTCTTTTGCATTGATGTCTCTGCGTGGTCCAAAACTGAAAAGTTTGACATTACGCTGCGTCTTCCTACAATTACAACATTGCAGATAGACATTTTTCTTAATAAAGCATGACCTTCAAAATTGAATATTTAAATTCAAAATTGAATATTTAAATGAGTTTGCACAATGTTTTTTCCAAATATGAGTAGTTTTCAAGCTATTTTGCCTGAACTGATCATTCTCATTGTGTTACGGCGAGTAATAGAGCTGCTTTATTGCCATACTCCAGAACAGGATTTCTGACTCTAGAACTTGTGATGCACAGTACAAAATGCCCTCGAAGACGGTGCCAGGTCACGAGCGAACGGGTAAGAAATATTCCCTGGGGGCCGGTCGACCGCAAGGATCGAGAGGGCGGGCTGGCACGAAGCGGGATGGGGCGGGACGGAGCGAGCGGAGCGGGGCGCTCCGGGGGCGGACCGGGACTTGGCCTGAGGCGCCCTGGCGGCACGCGATAACCTCCCCCTGCCCCTCGCCGCCACGTGACGTAGTGCTCCAGGTACCCCCTTCCTCGTGACGTCGTTCCGGTGCCCGATACAGGTGCAATAAACGGTTTGTAATTTATGTTCAAAGGGCAAACACAACGGCGAATGCGGAATATTACTTGGGCGTGTCTTGCCCTCAATGAAATAACCGCGCCCGTATTTCGATACAGCGGAAATTATCGAAAAATAAAATGGAAGGCGTTTGTTTTGTACGGCTAATAACAGTTTTCTTATTATCGTTTTTTTATCATGAAATACGAGCGGGCTCGGGTTTGCAAGCAACTGACCAGTAATTTATATTTAGACAAGCATTTTCGGTGTTGATTATATATATATATATATATATATATAATATATATATATATATATATATATAATATATATATATATAATATATATATATAATTATTTATATATATATATTAATATATATATATATATATTATATATATATATATATTATAAATATATATATATAATATATATATATATATATTGAAACGAACAACGTTCCTATAATAAGAACTATTAAAATAATCACCAATTCTAAATTAAAACAAAACAGTTGAGTTGATCAGCGCAGTAACGCCGCCGCCGCCACCAACGGTCAAATCGGGGGGAAATGGCGAGGCGAGCGACGGTTAGTAGTGTGCGGAGACCGTATTCAGTGAAGTACGGTCGGGGCTGTGATGCGCCCAAGAGATTTCCTGGAGTTATTAAATGCAGTTTGAAAATAGTGAAGCCGCCGAGTGTAGAACCAGGTTCGCCAAGGATTGATAGTCAAATGATTGACGGAAATAGAATTGCGCACCAAAATTGAAAAGACCAATAAGCCAGTACATCGCGTGGCCGACAGGCTAGTGTCGTGATCCCGCACTGGAACAGCATAATAGTGGACAGTGCCGAACAGACATCTGTGCAAAGTCGAGAAAGGTCGCTGAAAGGATTAGAATAGCCGACGAACATTAATCTCGCGTCGTGCGTTCCCGTATTTGTGAGACATTGTTCACACCGGCTGGGGCGGACCTTGGCGAATTCATCAGCCGTTACGTTGGGCCGGAGGAGCTGGTAGCAGAGGGAGGGCGAATCCCCGACGGGCTGCGGGGCGAACCGAAGCTTGCCGAAGCCACCGCCGGCCCCGGACGACTGCGGAGGAAGCAGATGGGTTTTAAAAATATCGAGGTAGTGTTGATCGGCGCGCTTGTGTCCAAGGCCTAAGTGTTACTGTTTGTAAATATTATTTGTGAGGTGTATTCTTTGGTTATTAAAACGTTTAGATGTATAAAAGAATTTATAACAATTTTATTCCTATGTTGCGCCAAATTCCTAGAGACCCATTCACGAAAATGTATCTGTCCCTTGCATAATTTAATTGTCGTGAAAGTACGGCTACCCCGGTACGTCACTATATATATATATATTCAATATCTTCATTTTGAACAAGACCGAATTTTCGTATTTCGTATCGACATTTCGTATCAAAGGCTGAATATTTAGATACACAATAACAATTTCCCACCCCCCCAGTCAAAAAGAGAAATTTTTCGTCAAACATTGCCAGTGATTTCCCAACGATCAACAAACACAGCTGATGAACCTCAATGCAATGCTCTAAAAGTTCCTCCGATTTTGTGAAAACATTCAAAAGTATTCAATTTTAAGCTAGAATATGCGTGCCGATTGCCAAAAGACCAATCTGGAAAGATAATCTCTAAAACACACTCCTGCTATTGGTATGGCAAATTTCTATATGATCGTTAACTGACAATAACTTGAGGAAATTAATGCGCCAGTAGACTCGATGCAAAAGATTGAACTATTATCAGAAGTGTTTTCCAGATTTTTTCTCAAAATTACAGAGAAACCATGATGGTTGAGTGAACGTGACTATTTTGCCTGCAAAAAACAACGATGTAAATGAATTAAATTTAACAAATTCAAGAACAAATACAGGCGATCGAGGATATATAAATCAGTTTGATTTGGCTAACTAACAAGATGATGTAGTGAACTTTCCACCAGAATTTTATTAACTCGCTGATTTGCCAGATTGCCACTCACAATTCTTCAATTAAAAGTTTGGATTGGTAGTTATAATGTGCGAAAATACTCAGCCACCACGTCTTGCAAACGGCACACGGTTAACGATAAAAAAAATTACTAACACGTGATAGAAGCAACTACACTGAAAGTGAGAAGATAAGGAGAAGACGTCCTCATACCGCGCATGCCCAATGAATGTCCGACTGATGTGCCGTTGAACTTTTAAACGACTACAGTTTCCATGTTCGGCTGTGTTTTTGTTGCTATGACTGCAAAAGGTAAGTCCCGGAGGGGCAATCATTATAGTGTTTGGTGGTATTAGATCTGGAAAGACCCTTGTTTTCAGCATGGGTCCAATTTGTAATGGGTGCCTGGTTCCGGGTGAAAACCATCGAATGTTATTTCTTTGTGCCCAGGTATATTCAAGACAAAAAACATTGTAATAGTCACAAAACACTGACAATGAAACATAAAACGTGATTTTTGTTACATAATTGTGATGATGTGACATGATTAACAATAAAGCGAATACTTACTTTTAAATTGCTTTATATATATATACATCATATATAATTATATATATATATAATATATCTATACTATATATGTTTTTATTATATTATATTGTTATTAACAACCCCCATTCACCAGGGTGACGGTTTCTGTCAGGAGAATTTTTTGCCCAGACATAAATATATGTGGGGAAAAAGATTCACATTCAAATCTTTTTAGACAGGACGAAGTCTGTCGGTCCGCTAGTAATATATA